ATACTATAAAAATATACACATTATACTATAAAAATATACACATTATACTATAAAAATGGTTCTGAAGATGTGCTCTCATCTTCCAGTATAGGTCATAATGCAAAGACTTCACTGTGTGTTTTGTCCCCCTTATAACTCTTACTGTATTAGCATTGATACCACATGATTCTAAGTGTTAATAGTGTTATTATACTATAAAAAGAGAGCGAAGCAGCAAATTTGACCAGACTCTCTGAATCTTAAGTCTGGAGTGAACTCCTTTATAAACACTTGGCCTTCTTTAAAGCATCATGACTCAGATTTCAATAACATCAGCATGATTGTAATTTTATTATTGGCTGAAGTTATTCAAAACTACGCACTGCAAGTTCATTTCTGTACAAATGTCTTTGTGGGGCTGACAAAGCCTCGGCTGTTAAGAGCCGCTGTAAYTTTTCTCAGCAGTCCCGTCTGTTCTCGCTGCTTTCCTAATTATCCTCGGCACCTTTGGGGATTTCTGATTACACAGGAACTTTTTGTTCTCCWGCCAAGTTCCTGTCTTTCTGTTGGGTTTGCAGCTTTTAGCTAAATGCATCACAGAGTGGTTRGAGGCTTGTGCAGCTTTTAGTTTCCGTGTCACTCAGCAGCCTCTTGTGGTTTTAGGATCACAATCTCCCACGAGAGCCTTGTGGAGTTTCTTCTTTAATCTGTCTCACCTCCACAGGTACTACGCCGTGCTCTACCCAATGATCTACCCCATGAAGATCACCGGGAACCGGGCGGTGGTGGTCATCGTCTACGTGTGGGTGCACTCTCTGGTGGGCTGTCTGCCTCCTCTGTTCGGCTGGTCCTCCTTCGAGTTTGACTGCTTCAAGTGGACGTGTGTCGCGTCGTGGTCCAGGGAGCTGAGCTACTCGGCCTTTTGGGTCGCCTGGTGCGTCCTTCCCCCGTTGCTCACCATGTTGGCTTGTTACGGGGTCATTTTCCGTGTCGCCCGCATGAAAGCTCGCAAAGTCCACTGCGGGACGGTTATCGTAGCCCAGGACGACCCTACGGGAGCTCAGAGGAGCGGACGCAAGAACTCGAGCACTTCCACCTCCTCTCACGGCAGCCGGCGGAGCCTCGTGTACGCAGGGAGTCAGTGCAAGGCCCTGGTCACCATCTTGGTGGTGATCGGCACCTTCCTGGTGACGTGGGGGCCGTACGTGGGCGTGGTGTGCACTGAGGCGCTGTGGGGCCAGGGCAGCGTCCCTCAGGGGCTGGAGACCCTGGTGGCCTGGCTGTCTTTCTGCAGCGCCGTGTGCCACCCGCTCATCTACGGCTTGTGGAATAAAACAGTGAGGAAGGAGCTGCTGGGGATGTGCTTCTTAGACCGCTACTACAGAGAGTCGTTCGCCACGCGCCAGCGTACGTCCCGTCTGTTCAGCATCTCCAACAGGATCACAGGTGGGACAGCAGCAGGGTTTCTCTCAGAGTCTAACCAAGTTTTATTGGCAGAAGAAGTTTCTTCTCTTTATTTTCAGTACAGGAACATAATCATGCTTTTGTACAATGAGATGTTCAATTTATTTTCAGACTTGGGTATGTCCCCACACCTGACTGCCATGCTGGCTGGTGGAGGACACTTGCTGGCCCCTGGAAGCAGCACAGGGGACACTGGCTTCAGTTTTACTCAGGATTCAGGTCRGTACTGCATAAAACTTACATTTAAACAGCTTCAAAATTGGTTTATGTTGTGTCAGATTTGCTTCTCTTATCAACTAAAAGGATTTTCTGACTTTTACTATTAGACTTTTCAAAGAAATGATGGCTTTTTTCACTTTATGCACTATCTTGTGTAAGAAATACTGTTTTGTCTCCACCTCGTGGAGCTTCAGACTTTGTTTTCACTTAAAGAGGATGGGCAAAGCTGTGGGTCAGGCATGTTTTTTCTTGCAGGAAGGTATTTACAATTTGCCGAAGTGTATATAAAGTATTGTTTGTAAAGTTAACCCTCTGTTTTTTTTTTTTACATGCAGGCACAGATGTGATGCTGTTAGATAACTCCTGCACGGACGGCTCCTCCCTCCTGCTGCATCCTGGGAATCRGTCCGGGAAGAGGAGGAGCTCGGTCACCTTTGAAGACCAGGTGGAGCATTCCAAAGGTATTTATCAGATCTGAGGCAGAGAAACATTTTGTGTTTGGGAAATGAACGCATCAGAGAGCAAAAAAAAAAAAAAAWAAATTTCTGTAGCTTTTGTTTTGTTTGGTCTTTGTAAACAAATTTATTTCTCTCTCCAGCTGAAAACCCGTCCTCGGTCCAAGTCCACGCAGAGGTCCACAAATCCCTCGACTTATTCGCCTCCTGCTTGGCGAAGGCCATAGAGAGCGACGCCAAGCTGGCGCTGTTTGGGGAGAACGGGGCCCAGCAGGGGGGGCTCTTTGTAACGAGAGCGGCGCAGAGACCCAGGTACCTGGACGGGCAGAGACTCAGACTGGAAAGCATCGATGAAGGGATCYTTAAGGACGACAGAGAGGAGGACCAGGGTGTGGAGGAGAAACTCATCTGAACACTTAAACACTGAGCTCTGTGGTACAGCCTGGGACGTTTGGATTAGCAAACAGGAAGTGGCACATGATTCATTCCACTATGATGGATGGAGGAGAGTATCAAACTTTTGTATCAAGTGTTTACTTTTAATATGAAGCCTTGGCTACTGTAGCTTAACGGGTTTGATTATTAGTACTTTTATAAATATTTGTTTTCTATCTTGTTTTTGTTAGTGTGTACTCTCAAAGTGATCACATGCTGCAGTGGAGCTGCGTAATATCAAAAAAGACCAGTATTTATCCAAAAATATGATAATTTCCTTGTTTTAAAAAAAATGACTCACATTCAGTTGCAGATTTCAGCGACGCGTGGACGTGCAGAAGTTTTGAGTTACCGTTTAATTAGCGGTTTTCTGTGAACACGCAGTCCTCGAGTCGCAACTATTTGAGCTTTAAAGCGCTTAATTACATTTAAATGACTAATTATCAGCATCTTTACTCTGTCGTGTTATCAAAGCATTGCATAAATGAGAGAGGTTCACATTTTCCCAGCTCACAAGTTCAGGCTGACTTTGCAAAAACATCTGATACATTTAGGTTGAATTAACTCCTACAAAAAGGTTCAGACTACAGGATTTTCAGTTTTTGTTTGATTGTTTGAAACTACTACAGGAATCAGCTACATGCTTCCAAAAATGTCTGACAGAGCTTTGTTTTCACACAACCAACAGTGAGCAACCATCAAAGCAAGATTTATCTTATAAATTAATCTGCACTGTTAAACTTTGGTAAACACTTGTCATGTTAAGATGGCAGATCAGAATCAGACACAGTGAAGCTGTAATAATAATAATAATGATATAATAATAATAATAATAATAATAAGGAAACCTGAAAGGATCAGAAAACCCTGCAGATTTTTAGGATGTTTCTATGGCAACATTTTCAGAGATGTTTTGTTTCTTCTCTAAACACTTCATTTATACAAGACAAACACTTGTAAATATTCAAATTAAAGACAGCTGAATTTCAGATTCTCAGTTTGTACATTCTGACATCGTCAGGACTTACAGTACTTGAACACTTAAACAGACCAACACTAATGCACATTTTACTCCTCATGTCAGAATCACTTGTGGCTCTGTCAGTTCAGGATCTGGAGCTTGAAGAAGGGACTCGCTGCTGTAACCAGTGTCCTGATATTGTATTGATTTTTTTTCCTTTTTCTAACTGTGGATTCATCATTTTTGTGCTCCTCCTCATAACTTGTATTTAGAGAAGGACGCCCAACGAGTTACTAAATGGGCTGAGTTATTTAAAAGACTGATTGTTGTCTAAACAATTTCAGGAATAAATTAAACCTTATTAGATGTTTAGTCAACTCAGACAAAAATGTTCAGTGGTACATTTAGTTTATCTGTTTTAACTCGTTTTACTTTTATAAAAGTTTTTTATGGTCAGTAGAGCTCAGTTCTCAAGCTTCAGTCTTATCTTGTATTCTTATTTTTTATATTTGAACAAGTATTACGTTTGTACGAAAATGATAATGCCTAAGAATTGATGTCATCTGTACTCAGTTGTTTGAAGCTATTGATACAGAAACATTTGCATTAAAGTTTTATATTAAACGGTTTACTGTCCTACATGGCAGCTGGGACAGATTGTCACACAGAGGTTTGTTTTTTTTAATATAGGAATGTAAACCTTTTCAATCTTCTGGCTTCTACAGGAAACAAACTACTTACATGACAAAGTTAGTACATGACCCAAATTTAAGGAATTTCATTCATTTCAATCAACTATTCTTCATCCAGCAGCAGGATAAAAACCAAATTCCCTTTATAATTTTTTTGAGATTTCTAAAGAACCTTTTAGATCCGTGGTTCCCAAAGTTGGGGTCATGAAGCGTCAGGTGAGGGTCCTCAYAGGATTTCCAGACATCAATTTAAAGGCAAATTAATTGTTAAAGAAATATTTTCACTATACTTACTGCAAAAACAATACTAAAATAAAAGTAGCATCATAGTTATTAGGTTTATTTATATTATTATGCCTATGTTTTACAGAGTTGTGAMTAAAGTTTGCATACATAAACCAGTAATTTCTGGGGTTACACTTTTTTTATTGTTATTTCGTGGTCCGGATGTGAAAATGTTTGAAAACCACTGATTCTGATGAACCCTGTTAAAAGGGAGTCATTCCTTTCTACTGTCACCAATCTGCTACTCAGGATGGATAATCAACATTTCAACCTGCTGGCTTCCTTAGATAAACAACCTTCACTGATGGGCTGTTTTAATGTATGTGAATTGTTTTATACAGTGAACKGAGACAAATTTAGTTGTTAATTGACGTCGAGTTGAACTGAATTTAAAATCATTCGTCAGCTTTAACAGGAAGTGAAAAGATCTTTATAGAATAAATCACAGCTTGAACAAATCGACAGGTGCAGCTGCAGAAAAAAAGCATTAAATGCAAGTTGAACTCATGGTTAACTTTAAACCAAAGCCAAACTCTGTCACTGTAACCAGACAGATAATTATTATAATTTTTACAAAAGGATACAGATTGGTTTTCATAGTTTAAATTTATTGTTTTTCTTTTAAATTCTATAAAACAGACTCGAGAGAAGAACCACAGCTTTGTTACTTTTTTTTCCATCAAACAAAATTAAAGCGTCTGTGTTTTTTTTTCTTAAGTCTGTATTCACATGCGTYAAACCTGCAGCAGCACATCAACATTTCTCTGCTACAAGTTCAAAAAAAAAAAAAAGTCAAACATTAACACTGACCGAAGCTGACCGTCTCCAAAACAGAAACAATATTGCACTTAAACACCCTTTCACACCATTTTTCCTCACTCACTCTGATGTACTTTATCCTCATCCAGAAACAGAAGTAAGAAAAGGTATCTTTAAAAAAAACCAAGGGGCCTAAAAATTACACTAATATTCAAAAGGAAGTATTCTACACTAGTACAAATCTGTTTTTAAGTGCTTTACAGCAAGAAGAAAAAGGGCTTGTTTTGAAATACAGTCTGGTTACTGCTCATCGTCGTTTTCCTGGCCGGAGCCCTCAGAGCGATCGCCCTCCAGCCGGTCTACGAGAAGAAAAATAGAAATATCAGAAACTAGAAAGAGGCAAACAAGTTTTTGTACGGGGCTTTTTGTGTTTACCTGATCTGATGTGATTGAGGGAGGCCAACATTCGGAGCATGAAGGAGGCCGGGACTGTGATTGTATTTCTGGTTTCTTCCAGCATTAGCTCATTTCGGGTTATTACCTTAAACATGGAGAAGGAAAAAAATAAACACACATGATGAATCACGTAAAGGAAATTTAAAGTAACTACAGCTAAAGAGACAAAGATACAAAACCTTTTCACCAAACTATTTTCTTTTATTCTTGTTTTAAATTTGCCTCTGATATTTTAATATTAGGTACATTGTTTCATTTAGGATGTTTTAATTGATTTTATGCTCAGATTATACGTTGGGGATGACACAGGTGCAAACTAGATTAACTCAACATCTGTAAGTTCATTAGACGTATAACCTTTTGTTTGCTAAAATCGCTCATCTGTGGTACCCATCTTGAATTGAGCACACTCAAAAAGTTATTTAGATGTAGAAGTACAGGTGCTGGTCATWAAATTAGAATATCATGAAAAAGTAGATTTATTTCAGTAATTCCATTTAAAAAGTGAAACTTGTATATTATATTCATACATTACATACAAACTCATATATTTCAAATGTCTATTTCGTTTAATTTTGATGATTACAAATGACAACAAATGAAAATCTCAAATTCAGCATATCAGAAAATTAGAATATTACTGAAGACCAATAAAAACAAAGGATTTATAGAAATGTTGGCCAACTGAAAAGTATGAACATGAAAAGTATGAGCATGTACAGCACTCAGTATTTAGTTGGGGCTCCTTTGGCCTGTATTACTGCAGCAATGCGGCGTGGCATGGAGTCGATCAGTCTGTGGCACTGCTCAGGTGTTATGATAGCCCAGGTTGCTCTAATAGTGGCTTTTAGCTCTTCTGAATTGTTGGGTCTGGTGTATTGCATCTTCTTCTTCACAATACCCCATAGATTTTCTATGGGGTTAAGGTCAGGAGAGTTTGCTGGCCAATTAAGAACAGGGATACCATGGTCCTTCAACCAGGTACTGGTGGCTTTGGCACTGTGTGCAGGTGCCAAGTCCTGTTGGAAAATGAAATCTGCATCTCCAAAAAGTTGGTCAGCAGCAGGAAGCATGAAGTGCTCTAAAACTTCCTGGTATGTGGCTGCGTTGACCCTGGACCTCAGAAAACACAATGGACCAACACCAGCAGATGACATGGCACCCCAAACCATCACTGACTGTGGAAACTTTACACTGGACTTCAAGCAACGTGGATGAAGTGCCTCTCTTCTTTTCCTCCAGACTCTGGGACCTTGATTTCCAAAGGAAATGCAAAATTTACTTTCATCAGAGAACATGACTTTGGACCACTCACCAGCAGTCCAGTCCTGTTTCTCTGTAGCCCAGGCAAGACGCTTCTGACGCTGTCTGTGGTTCWAGAGTGGCTTGACACAAGGAATGCGACAGCAGAAACCCATGTCTTTCATACGTCTGTGTGTGGTGGTTCTTGAAGCACTCACTCCAGCTGCAGTCCACTCTTTGTGAATCTCCCCCACATTTTTGAATGGGTTGTGTTTCACAATCCTCTCCAGGGTGCGGTTATCTCTCTTGCTTGTACATTTTTTTCGACCACATCTTTTCCTTCCCTTCGCCTCTCTATTAATGTGCTTGGACACAGAGCTCTGTGAACAGCCAGCCTCTTTAGCGATGACCTTTTGTGTCTTGCCCTCCTTGTGCAAGGTGTCGATGGTCGTCTTTTGGACAACTGTCAAGTCAGCAGTCTTCCCCATGATTGTGTAGCCTATAGAACTAGACTGAAAGACCATTTAAAGGCCTTTGCAGGTGGTTTGAGTTAATTAGCTGATTAGAGTGTGGTACCAGGTGCCATCCATTTTGAACCTTTTCACAAGATTCTAATTTTCTGATTTGCTGAATTTGAGATTTTCATTTGTTGTCATTTGTAATCATCAAAATTAAACGAAATAAACATTTGAAATATATGAGTTTGTATGTAATGTATGAATATAATYTACAAGTTTCACTTTTTAAATGGAATTACTGAAATAAATCTACTTTTTCATGATATTCTAATTTTATGACCAGCACCTGTACACCTGATAATGACTGATACATCCAGTGGTTTCTGAGATATTATACTAACAGACACAAACACTGCTGCTCGTCTTCCACCTGTCAGTGGCAYGTAATGATAGTTATTTCATGGTGAAAGCCCGACACTCAAGCCTYAGCAATTTTAGCAGAATATTCCCAGTGTAGCATCTTTAGCAGGTTATTTTCAGGTGTGTGTTTTCCAGAGGAGCTGCCGTACCTCATCAGCAAGGACTCTATTAAAAGACGGTAACTGTTCCAGCGGTGACCAAATCTTGATATCATAGTCGATCCCCGAAGAGGCCAGAACTGAAACGAAACGTCACGATTAGACACGGCGCGTCTATCATCCCGGCACGGTTCTAATCCCGGTCCAGCTGTGACCSCGGGGGGGCGGGGGACTCACTGGGGTCGTACGGGTGCGGCTGCAGACAGTTGACCACGTGGTTGTCGGCTTCGAGCAGCATCAGGTGCTCTGCCGTGTGCCTGTCCCAGATAAATATGTGACCGCAGTCGGAGCCGCTCATCACGAAGTTGTTGCCCCAGAAACACGACTCTTTTATCTGTACACGGAAACAGAAAATCACCTTTAAAATATTAATCATACTGTTGAAAATCAAAAGGGACATGTCAGAACAAAAGTGATAACAGTGGAAAACTACAGCTGAACTCAGGGTTTTATTTGTAAACTTTACATTTAGGAAAAGGAAGAATTTCTGCCTCGCAGGATTTCACCCTTTATCCCAAAAATATCATTAATCTGCCTAAAAATTGAGCGTAGAGTCTCTTATTTTGGTGCAGTTTATAGTTTGCTCATCTTCAGATTTGTTTAATACTATAGTTTTTAGCACAATCTTCATTAGAGATGCTCGATATTGACTTTTTGCTGATATTGTTCAACACTTATTTTCCGATTCCAGTATTAAACTGATATTAAGGTGACATCACATATCTCCTGTCAGGGACATTGGGCCTCATGCAAGAACATGTTCGTATTCTTATCCTAAATTTCTCTTACTTTTGTTCGTACAAAGGGTTCGTACGAACATGTCACGTC